TCAATGATTATCTTAATTATATTTTAGATATTTTATATTTAATATAAAATAGTTATTATGTATTTGATTATGTTTATCAATTATTTTATTAATTTAAATATATAGCTTTAAAGAGTTGTATTCATTCATCATTTACTTGTAATATTAAATTTCAAGTAATATGTATCAATAAACAGGTGCATAAAAATGATGTTTAAATTTTTTTTCTCCTCAAATGCTTTAGAAAAGACTAGAAGTGTACTCGTGTAATGCATCGAGACACTTCTTGATTTCAGTGTTTCGTTTTATTCCCTTTTTGTGTCGATATAATACGGTTTTACGTGGTTTTAAAAAAGCGATAATGTTTTTATTTTATTTTTCAATTTAAAATTTTGAAAAACTATCTATTCATATCAGTATCAAGTTAATCTTTTTAAAAGTTTTTTGGTGTAATTTTCTTAATTCAATTTTTTTAATTACAATTTAATTTAGGTTTGATAACAAAGAAATTTAATTTAGGTTTAATAATATAATTTTTTATAAAGATAATAACTAGACATTCTGTTAGAACTCAGTAATTATCCTAATTATATTTTAGATTTTTTATATTTAAAAATAGACGTTTATCGAATATTTGATTATGTTTATCTGCAGTTAGTTACACGAATTCAATATATGAAGCTTTAATAAATTATATTTATGCATAATTTACTTGTAATCTTAAATTTTAGGTAATATGCATCAATAAACAGTACTTCGTGCATAAAAAATGATTTTTAAGAGTTTTTGTCAAATGCTTTATAATATAGTGTAAATAAAATTTTGATTTATTAATATTATTTATTATGAATCGTAGAGTTATTAAATATTAAATTTAATTAACTAATAATTATTAATTTAACTAATAATTATTTCACTAAACCAAATTGGATTTGTAGGACACTACTAGTTTCTAAGCGTTCTAATAGATCATTTTATAGGACTTAATTTTTAGGACCAAATATTAAACGTCGTATATAAAGACGTTGTAATAAGTTTATAGAACATTTTTAAGCGTCTTAACAAAGCTTTTAGGACAATTTTAATACAAGAGGTTGTAATAAGTTTATAGGACAATTTTAGGCGTCCCAACAAGGTTTTTAGAACGTTTTTAATACAAAACGTCACATTAGAAATTTTATATGACACTTTTTATAAACCCATATTTTTAAAGGGCATTTTTTTAGGACAATTTCTCAAATAGAGCACTATAAAATTGCTAATGGCACATTTTACATTAAAAATGTCTAAGAAACTTGTTAAAACCTCCAAATGTATCCTATAAATTTATTATAATGCATTTAAATAAGATACTTTTATTTTTTTATTTCTATAAACCCGATTTTATTGTAGTGTTTGTAGAAATTATTAATCATACTATTTACTATTAATTCTCTTTATCTCATAAATAATTATTTTTATTGATCGGCATGTGTTTACAATAATGCAAATAAATATATTTTTCTTGTTTTTATTTATTTTTTATTTAACACGTATCATATTAAATATAAATCATATTTACATGTTAGTCGATCATATTTGTTGTCGGATTTTCAATTTTTAAATATTCGTGTACCAAAATAAGTACGAGAACGATATTCACGTAATGTAACGAGATACGTCTCGATTTTTATCTTTTATTTTTGTTATTTGTTTATGCCGATGTTATAAAACA